ATGTGGTACGCGGGCCTCTCACTGTTGTGGCCTCTCCCATTGCGGAGCCTGTGCTCCAGACACGCAGGCTCAGCGGCCATGGCTCACGGGCCCAGCCGCTCCGCGGCATGTGGGATCTTCCCGGACCGGGGCACGAACCCGTGTCCCCTGCATCGGCAGGCGGACTCTCAACCACTGCGCCACCAGGGAAACCCAGGGTCAGCCTTTTTGTTCTCTGCAGACCTTCAGTGGCTTGGGTGTGGGATCTACCCCGTTAGGGAGGGCAACCTGCTATATTCTACAGATTCATATGCTAATCACACCCAAAAACACCCTCACAAAAGTCCCCAGAATAATGTTTAACCAATTATCTGGGTACCCCATGGCCCTGCCAACTTGACACACAAAATTAATCATTAGAGACCCTCAGGTTGGGCTATGTGCTTTTCTTGCATTCCCATCTCTTTCTACACTTGCGCTTTTCCGTAATTTTTTTAACCATCTTTGTTTATAAGTGTACAGGTCAGCAGTGTTAAGTATATTCACTGTCGTACAACAGATCTCCAGAACATCTTCCTCTTGCAAAACCGAAACTCTGTACTCATTAAACAACAACTCCCTGCTCCCTTCTCTTCTCAGCCCCCAGCGCCCACCCTTCTACTTTCTGTCTCTATAAATCTGACTCCTCTAGGTCCCTCATATAAATGGAGTATTTGTCCTTTTGTGACTGACTTATTTCACTCAGCATAATGTCCTCAAGGTTCATCCGTGTTGGATCCTGTGATGAACAGGATTCCCTTCCTTTTTAAGACTGAATAATCTTCCTCCATTTGTATCGACCGTATTTCGTTTATCTGCTCCTCCACTGATGAATACTTGGGCTGCTGCCATCTCTTGGCTGTTGTGAATTACTTTGCTATAAACGTGCAAGTGCAAATGTTTCTCTGTGACTCTGCTTTCACCTCTTATGAATATATACCCGGGGGTGGGATACACTTTCTATATCTTAACCCTGACCGATGGTATTGGGATTTCGTCTCTACCAAGCTGGCAGCCTCCCTTCCGGTCGTGCTAGACTTTAAGCTCTGGGAGCAATGGCCCGAGCTTTATTCATCTCAGTGGCCTGGTGAGGATGACTCACTCAGCAAACAGCAAGGTCCTGCCTGATAACTTCCTCTTGCACATCCTCTTCAATCCAATTGCTCTCAGAAGGATGTCATCTGAGCTTTTAATATCAAAACAGTGCCAAGTTTCAGGCACAACATTTTCATTTCAAAGATTAGAATTCTGGGTGAGTAGGGATAAAAGATTCTAACTCAAGCCAGGAATAACAGACAAGGGCTATTAAGTTGTGCTCCAAACGAATTATTGAGAAAGAAATGTTACACATGACACTTAGTTTTCTTTAAAAACTTGCTCTAAACGTGACAGCATTGATATTTGATAATACTCTTTCTAGAGTGATAATTTGTGTTTCTTTTTAAGTTACCCTTTTAAACTTTACCTCAAAGGTAATACCAGGAAATTATGCTAATGTCCTTTAATTTTGTCTACAGTTTAAGATATATTGGGTGTCAGATTGCCTTAATTTTAGGATCAGTTTTATTAACTGAAGTGAATGAGTTTAAGTATCTATAGTGATGATATTAATGTGCATGTTTGTACCCCTAGAGGCCCATTTGGAATTCTTTTATGTTGGTTCACATTACTGCTTGCCCCCCAGCCTGCCCTGCCCTTTACATTTCATGAGGATTTAATAAACAAGCCATGGGTTCAGGGCCAAAATGGTGAACGTTTTGTAAATGATGAAATGGAACTTGGAAATATTAAAATAAAATCCTTCTATGTACTGGTCCCGTGACATCTTACCTGAGGTTGGTTTAACAGGCAGTGTGTCAGGGCTTCCCTGGTGGCGCAGTGATTGGGAATCCACCTGCCAGTGCAGGGGACATGGGTTTGATCCCTGGTCCGGGAAGATCCCACATGCTGCGGAGCAAGTAAGCCCGTGCGCCACAACTACTGAGCCTGCACTCGAGAGCCCGCGTGCCACATGCAGCATGTCGCTTCCGGAGATACCCAAGCGTATCCATCACCTAAATTTTCTAAATATTCACCTCCTGCCTTCGGCTTTGTAGCGCTGTTAACTTTTGTCTGAAAGGATCACTCATGTCACTGCTGCTCACCTAAGCCTCTCAGCATTTCTTTCCACCTATGTGGATGCCAGCATCACAGAAACACAAGCCGATGCAAGAAGATGTGCATCCCACACTCCGCCCTCGGGCTCCCGGTGCCAAGAAAGCCTCCTGGTCTTAGTAAGACCATCCAAAGTGCTGGTTTCAGACACCAGCATCAACTCGCAGGGTAAAATACATGACACCTCCCAGAGGTGAGCAGTGAGAGCAGACTTCAAAAGGCCTTGTCCTCATACACCTGCTGGCAGGTAGTTTACTGCCATTCAGAGCAGTGTCTGCTGAGGACTGGCCTGCCAGGGATGTTCAGCTAAAGCGGTCGTGGCCCTGCCCTGGATCCACGCAGACCAGCATTCAGCATAACCCTCTCCTCGCCATCTGTCGGGGCCAGCCCTGGGCTCTTCAGATGCCAAGAGGAGAAAACCATTCACCCCGCAGTTATTGGGGGCTATTTCCCTTCCTTATCGTGAGTACCGTGGAAGTGGGTAGACAGGCCAGTATGCTAGAAGGTGAAGGATTCACCATAAAGCTACCCTGGGTCTCCTTCCAGATGATGAGCTGCTTCCACGGCGGGACAAAGCCCTCCTGCTTTCCTGTCCTTGCTGGTCCAGCCTCCCCACCCCCAAATCGCAGACTCTGCTTTCAGCTTCGCCGCGGGTAGAGGGTAGTCTGGGGTCCACCCCCTACCTCCCATCTCCCCCTGGAATGTCCCTTCCCCTGGGTTAACTTGGCCTCGGGCCCCGTGGCAGGAACCAGGCAGGAGTCGGCTTGTCCTCCTGGCAGAGCTGCTGGGGAGGCCCCGCGAGCCTCGCTGAGTAACCTGCCCCAGGGAAGAGGGCAGCCCGGGTTCTTCCAGGCGGCTCCAGACTCCAGGGGAGGCCAGAACACACCTGAGATGCTGCAGGGTGGATTTTTTTTTTTCTTTTAGGTACGCGGGCCTCTCACTGTTGCGGCCTCTCCCGTTGCGGAGCACAGGCTCCGGACGCGCAGGCTCAGCGGCCACGGCTCACGGGCCCAGCCACTCCGCGGCACGTGGGATCCTCCCGGGCCGGGGCACGAACCCGCGTCCCCTGCATCGGCAGGCAGACTCTCAACCACTGCGCCACCAGGGAAGCCCTGCAGGGTGGCTTTTTTATCCCCGCTCTGCCTCCTCTTTCCGAGACAAAGAGCCTTGGCAGGCGTTAAACAACAATATCACAAGATTTACTAACATCCTGAGCAGGCGTCTGTGCGAGCCAACCAAGGGCCATCCAGCCCGGTTAGTCCCGCGCCCAGCTTCATTCACCACTCCATTCAACGGAGATGTCAAGCTCACCATGAACTTGCGGCTGATCCAAAGTGCCAGGTCTCGGTCCCCCCTTCCCCTTCCCTCGGCTGCTATCTTGCTGGGCTTAGTGTCCTGGCCTCACTTGGGATGGCTGGAGCTGAGTGTGAAGCTAAGAGGTAGGGAGATTTGGGGGTAACTTCAGCTTCTTCCCCGGAAACCATCCCAACTTCCGGGCATCACTGGTGAACAGCGGCCTCATTTGCCAGCGTCGATTAAGCAGCCACCTCCAGCTTCCCCAGCGGAAGCTCCCTGTCACCTGCTCTCACCACCTTCCCTCCTTCCTTCCCTCACTTCCATCTCTGTCTTTCCTGCCAACACTGTCCCTCCGTGCATCCTTCCCAGGAGGCCTCTGCGGCCCCATCACTATGTCCCAAGGCCTTTCCCGACACCATCTCCAGCTGTTTTCTGGCCCCATCAGGAGGGGCCCCCCCGTGACGGCGGCTGCCACGGGCTCCCCCCGCCCCACCGTGGATGCAGAGCCCACCTCACACCGCCTCTCCTCCTGGGGTTTCAGGGGGAAAGGGGAAGCCAGGAATCTGCACAGACCGAGTCTGAATCTCAAGCCGAATCCGGCCTCTGGATCCTGACACCGAATTAATTTTTGGAGACAGAGTTTTGGGTGAAGTAGTAAAAAATAGCTTTATTGCTTTGCCAGGCAAAAGGGGCCACAGCGGGCTAATGCCCTCAAGACTGTGTGTCCCACCCTGCAGGGGGTCCTGAGGAGTTTCATAGAAATGGTTCAAAGAGGGTGTGGTCAGTTTGTGGACACTCTTCTGATTGGCTGGTGGTGAGGTCATCGGGAGTCGGCATCATCAACCTTCTGGTTCCAACCGGTCTGGGGTCTCCATGCTTGTGAGCAGCAGACAGTAAACTTCTCCCGCCTGGAGGGGGTTTCAGTACCTGCAAAACAGCTCAAGGATATTGTCGTGTGCATCCCTTGAGGGGAACCAGGACCTGCCCCAAGGCTGCGCTGTTGTGTCCTGACTGCTCCTCCCTTGTCTCTGCATCCCCTCCCTTCCCTGATTAGCAACTGTTTGAACCTGCCCTTTGGAACTCAGGGAAGGTCCTGGAGGCTGAATGAAGCCTATTTCCTGTAATGAAGAAATGGGGGACACAGAAAGGCTTTCGTGCCCAGGAGCCCACACCTGTTCCGTATCAAATCCACACCCACCTCACCTTTCTCCACAAAACATTCCTCCACATCAGCAGTCAAAAACAAACAAACAAACAAACACGTTTGTTGTAACATTTGTTGTAACGGTGATAATGAACCAGGGATGTCAAGTTGACATCCGTAGACTCTCCGCCTGATCGGCTCTGCTCCAGCAAACAGACGTGTCCCCTGTGTGCGCCCCGTGCCTGTGAGCAAGAGAGATCTGTCCAGAATAAGCCACTTCCCCCTGCAGCCCCAGCTGGCTGTGGAGGGCGTCCGTCTCGTAAGCACAGGCTGTCACTCTGCCAGTGAACGGTGCTGGCCCCAGTCCCAGTCAGGAAGGGCTCTCAGACCACCTGCTGGGCCCCCGTGCTCGCCTCTGGCCAGGTGTGGCTGGCCACGGCCAAGGGAAGTACCAGTTTATCACTCTGGTCCACCTTTGGGGATGATTATACAGCAGTAAGATGAGCCACACGACAGGCCCATGAATCGGAGACTAGGTGCTGAGGCAAGGAGGCCATTACGTATGATTATAATAACAAAAGCAACGAAAAGCAAAGGTTAAAGTCAAAGAAACAGATCCAACCCGGAGTCCCATTTAGCTCTTCCCTGTTACAGTGAATGAAGAAAATACAGCGGTTTTCTTTCTGAGTGATTCTGCCTGAAAACAGTCTGCTGGATGGAGGTGAACAGTGTGCTCCTCCCTGGGCTGTGTCCCTGGCCGGCCCGTCAAAGGCGCTCCTCGAGGGTTGGGGCCCCTCTCCAAAGCTCCAGCAGAGTCGTTGCTGGTAAATAGGCCACTGATTTCAAGAAGACGCTCCCACAGACGGTCTGCAACCCAGGCTGCTACAGTTATGGAGGAGGGAACCTGGCTGATTTCTGTGGGAGGGAGAATTTGTTTTGTATGTTCCCATTTGTATAGATGGAGTTTGCTGAAAGCGTTTAAGAGGAATCAAAATGCCCCAAGTGTTATTTAGAGACACGAATAAGGCCAGTAGGGGGTGTGGGCAGAAGCAGGTCAGGAGGAACCGCCCTCCGTCCCTGGGGAAGAGCCGGAGGACCATCCCCAGAGCGGCCCCGCTGACCCCTGTAGCCTCCTTTTCAGCGTCCGTACCTGCAGATGCTACACCCCTGGGCTTCCTCCAGGTAATGCAGGAAGCGTGATTACAAGTCCTCGTGTGGCCATCTGGCAGGGCAGGCCCTTCTGCTTTGCTTAATTCAAGTTGTCTGCAAGTTGCATCTCAGCGCAGAGCCCTGATAACTGAGCTGCCCAGAGGGACCACGGGCCTGATTTGTTTGCTGCAAAGAGGCCCATGTGAGCCTGTGTATGGAGGCCCTTTATTATTTTGGGCGTTTTCAGGAAAGCTGATGTGAATTCAGCAAATATTGAAATATAGAAACAAATGTCCCAATCCTGGCCCATCGGAAGCTCACACTCTCTCCTCTGTTGTTCTAAACGAACGAAAGATGAGGCAGTGTGGAATGATGAAAATGAGGCTGCCGATGGCACCGCACACAGCCTTCCTAGGCCAGATGCTTTATCTGGGTTATACAGGGTACACTGGAGTTTGCCGGGCAGAGCAGAGCCAGGAGAGGAGTTGCAGCAGGTCACAGGATGAAAGGCATCTTCCTCCCAGGCTGCAGGGGGACCTGTGAGCGGGGCCTCGAGACCTGCTCGCCAAGGTTCTCAGTCCCCACGCTCCTGACCCAATAACTTTCCAAACACGTTCTTAGAAAAAGGAAACCTCTCAAGCGTTTCCTTCAACTGATTTTAGCAAGTCCTGGGGACTCAAGGGACCAATATCGATGTAGGGAAATAGACACGCCACAGACAAAGGTGGGAGAGAGAGCTGAGTCCACAGAAGGTCAACAAGGTCGGGGAGCCCGGTTATGGTGAGGCCACCTGCCATGTAAAAAGAGAATTGCAAACTGCTGAAAAGAAGGGGAAAGAAAGAAAAGAGAGAAGGAAGAAGGAAAGGGAGGGAGGGAGGGAGGGAGGGAGGGGGGGAGGGGGAGGGGGAAGGGAGGAGGGAGGGGGAGGGGAAAGCACCTGAATGCCAGGACAGCTAGATGAATGTTTTGGACATCTGGCGGTTAACTTGCCCCTGGTCCATCCCTGCAGGAGGCGCATGAATGATCTGGTGCAGTTATAGAGTAATTGCTCAGCATCTAACTGTGCAGAAGTTTCCAAAAAATATTTGTGCCGTGAGGATGGCCCAGAGTTTTAAGAGATGTTTTGAGGTACAAAGAGTACTGCCAGGAGAGGCTGAAGGTCAGACGTTTTAGAAAATATTTTCCTGGTTTTTGAAGTCCACTGTTGCAATGATGTAGGAAGAAGCTTGACCGTTCCAGAAAGCTCTGCCAGGACTCTCGGGTCCAGTGTCAAAGCACTTTCTGAAATAGGCGGAGGATAGTCCTTAACTTGTTTTTTAGAGGAACGTAAATCAATTTAAACTACGGTTCTTCATCACACGCAAATCCACACCATGGTGAAGAACCATCCACAGGAGACATTCCAGAAATCTTTCAATTATTGATTAGCCATAACAGTGAGTTGAATAAAAACTAGATACTTAACCCTTTATGGTAAGAAGTGAGGTGGTACATCCTTTGTCTCACAGGTCAGGTGAGGTTGAGGTCTGTTACCTGTGGCCACGCTGCTCCATCAGAGGTCCTGGCACCCAGGCTCTTCCTGGCTAGACCACCAGGTTTTCTGTTAATGACCCTGATTTAGGGGCAAATAGTACAAAAGGACTTTGGTGACCAGGGAGAGAGATGTTGGGATTTTAAAGTTACAGTGTTGACTCATAAAGTTACTTCACAAAGAGTAACTGCGATTTCAGTGTGGTTGAAAATCAACATTCTGAGAAATAAGTGAGGCATGAAAATCTCCCTTATCAAGGATGCCAGGAAGGACTGTCAGAGGACCCAAACATGGTTCCTTTAAAACAGGATTTTGCCAGGTTTGCACAGACCTGGGACATTTACGTGTTCTTTAAATGGATTTTGGACAGGGAAAAAAACCACAAAAAACTGCTGGCAAGCAGAGAAGTGAATTGCCTGCTACAGAACAGGACTGGAATCAGAGACCAAACGATCCCAAAGAAAAAGCAAGAGGCAGAGTTTTTCTGGGCCCACAGTAGAAATAGTTTCATTTGAAACAGCACAGCATTTCCTGATCCGAAACAGACCCAAAGGAGCTGCGGTGGGAACGGCTGCCTTTCATTGGACGTTAAGCCACCGGACAGAACCGTTCCTACTGACTTAGCAAAGGCACCCTGGAAACTCGTGTCAGATGCTCAAATATGCAGGAACCAACGATGGCAAAGTCCGGGATCCCGGAGCTGCTCGTGGATTTGACTCCAAGTCAGATGTGTTTGGAGGTTTTACACACGACCGTTTGCACCCAATAAGTCAAAGTTTATGGAAAGGAGCAGGAAGAAACGGGATGTGGAAACTCTGCATCTTGACGAGGAACCAGGCATCTTCCCTCCAAACCAGAGCGTGAGGGGCAGGGGCAGGGTTTGTCTTTGGTGGGGGCTGAGCTTTTCCTGAACGTCTACCAGGCACAGGAACAACACTTGGGTCCTTCACGAGAGAGCAATCGAGCCGCTGTAACGAGACCAAGTTCTTTCTGTTTGCTCCGTGAGCACCCACACAGGGTCTCGTGTGCTTTCAGGAAAAGGGAGCGCAGGTGTCCTGAGCCCCCTCCCCTCCCCTCCCCTCCCCTCCCGGGAGCCCCGCCAGCCTTGTGATCCGAGACATTCACTCCCTCTCCAATCACGAGGCAATTACGGGTGATTACCTCTGAAGCAGGGTCAGATCAGCCGCCGGCTTCCTGCCCAGGGTTGGAGCGGGCGGAACGAGCTGCCTGTGAGAAATGCTCTCTGCAATGGGAGAAAAGTGTCCTGAAGATCTCCGCTGGGATGGCGGGTTAGGGCAACCAGCCCTCTCCTCCTGGTGGCGGTGAGGGCCCGGGTACCCGTGGGTACCCGTCACGGGGGTCTGCAGCAGGCCCACGCTCCGGGCAGCTGGCCCTCCTCTCAGGGCCGGGAAGAAAGAGTTCCGTTTCAGCGTTTGCAGCACTGAGAGGCGTCTGGAACTTCTTGCCCTGTAAGGTTTCTACCTCGTGGCTCCCTCACGACAAGTGTCCGACAGCCTGAGTGGTACTTGCAGTTGGATCTGAGTCCCTGGGCCTGCTCTGTGATTAGTCTACCCCCGTTCCCGCCCCCATAGAAGTTTCTGGTAAATTACTGAGTCCAGAGAGGGAGTCCCTGGCGGGTATTTCACCTCAAAGCACTTATCCGTCATCAGCATTACCTGGAGCGCTTTGTTCAGACACAGAGCCGGCCTGAGAACGTTTGCTTCTGCCACGTTTCCGGTGATCCTAATGCTTCTGGTTCCAGGTCACTTGGAGAAACGCTGGCCTACCGCACAAAGCGTTCTCCCCGAACCTCTCCCTGAACCCCCAACAAGAGGGGAAGGAGCCATTAGGGCGGCGTTGGCTGGTGCAGGAACTTTAGGAGAATTGAAATAAACTAGAGGAACTTGGATAACCCATCAATATTGCCACTGGATCCCTCTCCCAGGAAATATAATTTCTTAATTTTTCTTCTTCTGTGAACTAGACTTGTATCTATAGCAGAGAATTTTTCCCTCAAAAAGACAATCTTTTATCTTTAGAACAGGATCTAAACTGTAATCCTTCCTGATGAGAATTCTGTCTCCTGCTTTTTCCTTCGTTGAGACCTAATTGACTAAAAACATTATGTTACTTTCTGATGTGCAGCGTGATTTGAGATTTGTATATATTGTGAAACGCTGAGCACAGCAAGTTTAGTTAACACCCATCACCTCACATTTTTTCTTGTAAACAGAACTTTTAAGATCTGCTCTGTTACAACGTTCAACTATACCATACAGTATTGTTAACTAGCCACCACGCTGTACATTAGATCCCCAGGACTTATTTGTCTATAACTGAAAAAAAAGTTTGTACTGTTTAATCACCTTCACATTTCCTTCTTATTCAGATTCATCTCTCCTTTACCCACAGAATAAAAGCTAATACTTACTGAGGGCCTACTAGGTACCAAGTGTGTAATAGTGGTAAGCGGTGTATATGCAGCGTGTCAAAGGATCTTCCCAACAATTTTGCAAATGATATGTCATTGGCCCATTTTACATATGAGCAAACTGAGGGTTAGGGAGGTTTTGTGGCTGCCCAGGGCCACAGAGCTAGTCACAGGTAGGACAAGGATTCAAATCTGGGCCTGATTCCAGAGATCAGCTATATTGCTACAGACAGTTATATTTTCTCTAGTATTCCATCTGCTATACTATGAAATAATCAATTACAAAGTGAGAGACATCACGTATTAAACAATTCTTCTGTGACCCAACCATTCATTCAAATTCTGTATTTAATAAGCACATACTATGTGCCATGCCCTATAGTTAGGTCCTGAGAATACAGTTGGCTTTCTATATCAGTGGGTTCTGCATCTGAAAATTCAAACAACCTCAGATGGAAAATATTAAAAAAGAAAAAACATTTCCAGAAAGTTCCCAAAAGCGAAACTCGAACTTGCCAGACTCGCAGTTAGTTACATAGCATTTACAACTGTTTACATAGTTTATGTATTATAAGTAGTCTAGAGATGATTTAAAGTATACAGGAGGTAATATGCAAATACCACTCCATTTTATGTAAGGGACTTGAACATCCTTGGATTTTGGTATCCTCAGGGGTCCTGGAACCAATACACCTCGGATACAAAGAGACAACTGTACAATGATGTACAAGATAGAACTTTACACAATATATTTTCCCAGAATGTCTAGTGAACTATTTTTTTAGTAGTTTGTCCTTTGGTTAAAATTGTTCAGAAAAGTACCTATGTCATTAAGCTCAGAACGCATTCCGCCTTCCTCTATTTGTTTTCTAGCAAACCACTTTTGACTTTCTAAAAACTCAGTTTAACAAATTTGTTTCCTATTTTTCTTAAAGAAGGAGCATGTGTTGCTTTAACTTTTAAAATACTTTTATTTTTGAAGGGACAATACATACGTATAGCTCAAAATTTCAAAAAAGACAAAGGATTTACAGTAAAAATCAGTCTTCCTTGTACTCCTGACCCCCAGCCACCCAGAACTCCCCGGTGGCAACCACTATTATATGTATATATTGTCTTCCCCCTTCCCTTCCTTATTAACACAAATGGTTGGTTACTATTGCCAAATTAATAAATATACTTACCTCGTTCTTTTTAACAACAGCTGCATACAGAAATAATTCTAAAATGTACCAAGTGATATTTAATTAGGCCCAGTTGATGAACATATAACATGGTCCAATATTTTGCTATTACAAACAATTCTACGATGACTACTCTTGTATGTATATGAATTTACGCATGAGCAAGTCTACCTGTAAGTTAATTTCCTTTAAGGGGAAATGCTGGGTTAAGGGCAAATGATATGTGCATTTGTAGTTAAAATTCTTTGCATTACTGAATATTTCAAGCATTCAGTAAAGAAAGAGACCAGTGTCATGAACTTCTACCACTTTTCAACGATTACCATTAATCTATGACTGATACTATTTCACATATATATACCCTTCAGCCCAAATTATTTTGAAACAACCCCAGACATAATGTTTTTTGTTTTTTTGCGGTACGCTGGCCTCTCACTGCTGTGGCCTCTCCCATTGCAGAGCACAAGCTCCGGACGCGCAGGCTCAGCGGCCATGGCTCACGGGCCCAGCCGCTCCGCGGCACGTGGGATCTTCCCGTGCCGGGGCACGAACCCGTGTCCCCTGCATCGGCAGGAGGACTCTCAACCACTGCGCCACCAGGGAAGTCCCAGACATTATGTTTTTTCATTGGCAAACATTTTGGTATTATTTCTGAAAAGTAAGGGCTTTAAAAATATGTGTGTGTGTGTGTATAATTTTAAAAATATGTGTGTGTGTATAATTTCATTATCATACCTGAAATAAATCAATATTATTTATTAATGTCACCATTTGTTAGTGTTACATTTCCCAAGATTGTCTCATGAAAACTTATTTTTCGAATAGTTTTGTTCTTTGATTCAGAATCTAAGTAAGATCCATCCATTCATTGCAGTCGGTTAAGTCTTTTTTTAATCTATTGGTTTCCTCCTCCATCTCTCTCCTTTCTTTCTTTTTTTTTTTTTCCCTGAGTGATATTACTGTAGAAACAGAGTGAATTTGCTTCCAGAGTCTCGATTTTGCTGATTATATCCCCATAGGGTCATTTAATACGTTCCGCTATCCTTTAGGTCAAAGGAAATATACAAAATTAAACTGTAGAATTTCTTAAAATAATAAGAAAACACAACATATCGGAGTCTGTGTGGCATAACTAAAGTAGTTATTAGAAGAAAATTTATAGAACCAAATAACTATCCATTTAAAAATTAAAATAAATGAATTAAACATTCAACTCAGAAAGCTAAAAGAAAAATAAAATCAAGTAAGCCAAAAGAGAGCGAAAAGAAGATAAATGCAGAAATTAAGGTTTCATTATTTTTTCAACTTGTTTTTACAAACTGAAACTTTAGGCTCATCACTTGAGAACTAGATCATTTTGTAATTTGCAACTAAATAGACAACATACCTAGGTAACTGTCAGAGGGAAAGGCTTTTCTCCAGTTTGCCCTGGATTTCAAGATAGGGCCTGCTTTGACTGTCAGTGGGAAATCGGGTCCCGAGCCCACACTTCCGTTCTTGGTGAGAAGCTGCAAGGTTCAGGCAGGAAGCAGGCGACGCAGAGTTCTGGGGGCTCAGGTCTGGGGCGAGTCTCAGCCCCTAGTGGCCCTGGAGTCACTGAAGGGACTAGGGGCACCTCCTCTCCTGGGAGATACCAGGGCTTGGCCTTGACACACTCCAGGTCACGTGGCAGCTGCCATAATTATTGCTTAGCAGGCCTTGAGCAAACCTCTGTGAGCTGAAATTTCTTCACCATAAAACGGGGGTATTATTAACCCTTAACTTTTAAGGGGCGAGAATCCAATGAGATGCCCGGTAGAGCTAGATGGTAGGTGGTAGCTAATAGTAGGTGTTAGCTGATAGGATGTAGGTGGTAGCTAATAGGATGTAGGTGGTAGCTAATAGGATGTAGGTGGTAGCTAATAGGATGGCGCTCAGGTTCTGTGATTCCGTGATGGAGGCCCATTTGGGGAGCCGCTAAAACATCACGGGACACAGAGCATCAAAGAAGGGAAAGCAATCAGATAGCTTCCCTTCTCTGAGGCCCACCGATGCTAAACGCGACACGCCTGCCCGCGGTCCTTCTGCCCACCTTGCGCCCGGGCTGCACGCGGAGGACGTTTCCATCCCGGCCGCCGTGAGCTCTCCGCCTCTGATCCCCACCCCCGCCCCCAGGCCGGGCTCGGGGGCCTGGGCTCTGGTGTGGGAGGCGCTTTCTCCTCCTCTGCTAGGTCTTCCTGGCCCGGAGGGGGCCACAGAACGTCCGAGGAGCCCTCGGCCTGGAGTGTGGGCGACTGGTCCTTCCCCTCCCCTCCCCAGCGGGACAAAGACCCGGCCTTCCCCATTCTTCCTGCCATCGGCAGGCTCACTTGGTGGCAGAGGGGCCGCGGGGGCCGCGGAGAGACGCCACCCTCCGCAACCCCCGTCCTCGGTGCGCCTCCCACTCCTCCGGACCCGGTAAGTGGCCGCCCCTCCGCTGCGCTCCCCCGCACCTCCCCGGCCGGGCCGCCGCGCGCTCGGAACCCGGCGGGAGTCCCGGAGCCGGCGCCCGCGACGCCGCAGGACGGAGGAAACGCCCGCGGCAAACAAAGGGCTGGGGTCCCCAGCGCCGCCCCGGAGCCCAGGGGCGCTCGCCCGCCCGGCAGCGCCGCCCGCGCCGCCCAGCGAGCGTCTCCTTATTTGGTCAAATGACACGCGGGGTTCTCCGGGCGGGGCGCGCCTCTCCCCGGGCCCAGCCGCCCGGACCTCCGCTGCCGTCTGCCGTCCGC